GCCTTTGTACCCCTGGACATTGTGTTCGAATAAACGGGGTCATTATTAAACTATGAAATCAGGTCTACTTTCACAATTTCCAACTACTTAAGCACGCAATCTGTGTGGAAAGAACGAGTATCATAAATACAGGCGTACGGCTCTCGTCTCTTATCCCCTTGTTGTAATCCCTCCTCCCTCAGCTCTCTGGTTTTCCTTCCCATTTCTTACTAAAAACCTCGTAGTGAATTACATTCCAAATCGAGAGCACATCCCATCTGGTGTGGATCGTGGTACCATAGACTGGGATCGGTACAAGAAAACGGGTAGGGCATCTTTTCTTCAATGCAAGATCACCCTGGTATTGTTGGATATTGAACGTGCATTGGAATGCCCCGCAAGCTGGTAGGAACACCGAGGTCTAACGCGACAACAATCTCTTGCTTATCTACTTGGTTAAACGCTTTGAGTAATATGCACATGTAAAAGAAAAACTCAACTCCAGCAATGCAGCACGGTACAGTTTTTATTAGACATAATTTGCCCAAAGTTTATCATAAACGGATTGGAGGACCGTACAGTTTAACAACCACAAAATGGACTTAACGGGGTGCTGGCTGTTAGATCACATCCACTTCAAAGTACTTCTGACTCCTGGTCACACAAACGTGCCACAAATCGTTCCACAAACAGGCCGGTTGTGTTACTATTTAACTGCACTACATATGAATAAGAACCCAGGGTGCAACGTATATTATTCAGTTCAAACTTTAAGAATGTGAACTACGTACTAACTCTGTAAGCAATTTATCCAAGTGCAAATTCAAATTCAAACTACATGAAACGAATGCAACCGGCATGCACATCCGAGCACAATAGAAGAGTGCTGACGCCCAGAAGAGGTGACATAAAATAATAATAGATACTTCGTTCCATTGCACAACAACAGATGTACGCTAACGCTAAGCAGCCCATTCAGTAACTCCCTACATTTGCAGGCTAACATAACATAACTAAGGACGTTAATATCTAACCGCAGATAAGACGTTCAGAGTTCAGAGCCACCCACAAAAGTAGATCCATGTTAGCCTCTCTAAATCCAGAGCCACCCACAGCACCTGACGAGTATATGTTTACCTGCCAGGTGGCCGAGCCTGATTTGTCCGCTGACCACCACCAGGCTGCAGATACCGTTCGATTGCTTGATCGTAAGCAGAGCCTACCAGGCTCCCCCTCATCTGCCCCGTGGGCTGCCAGTTCGGATCCATCTCGATCTCCGGGACATCGGGGTCCTCGAGCAGGGGCGTAGCGGGAGTCGGAGAAGGAGGTGGTAGACCAGGAGAATGCACACGCGGAACAGTAGGTGCTAGGCCAGGAGACTGCACACGCGGAGCAGTAGGTGCTAGGCCAGGAGACTGCACACGCGGAGCAGTAGGTGCTAGGCCAGGAGACTGCACACGCGGAGCAGTAGGTGCTAGGCCAGGAGACTGCACGCGCGGTTGCACTGGTGGAGTAGACTGCCGGGACACTGCATGCGTTCTCGTTGCCTGGCTCTGCTGGGGAACGTAGAGATGGCCTGGTGTGGCCTGGCTAACTGCAACGCCTCGGTTCACCAGTTGGCCTATTAGATTGTCGAATTGTCGCTGGTCATATTGCTGATATTGTTGAGGGTAGGGAGCTCCATAGGCATTAGCACCTCTACCCTGTCCAGGGCCTCCTGTCGGCGGTCTCATATGCATGAAGGGATTTGCAGCAAGGCCCATAACCCGACCACGTTGATGGTTTGGCATGTTGTGCATATCCTGCCAGAATTATGCAAGTCCATCAAGAAATGTTGTTTATCAAGATAAATTCAATCCAAGCAAAAATACAGAGAAAATTGGTTCCACTTCTTGTTAGTAAGTTGAAACTGGCTGCACTGAGCCCGCAGTCTACAGTAGTGTTACTAAACAATGTCGTTATTGTAGGTGCTTACGCCAACTGACATCCTAGTGCAGCTAACAGCTAATTGCCAAAAACAGGTACTATCATATGCTAAATACTTGATGCGGCTGCAAAACACAAGCGAGATAGTATACAATTATGTAACAGGCCTGGAGCTTTTCAAATGTTTAGGCATCAAGTACTTTTCAAATAACTCGGAACCAAATGAGACATTTTTCAACATCCAAACACTATCATACTACCAGTTATGGAGCTCCGCTGACTTGTCACTTGGTTTTGCATAAAAGTAAAGACATCAACTAGTTCAAATGTGAGTAAATATTCCCTCTGTAAACAAATAGAAGATGCTTTAGATCACTACTCTGACATTTGTTTACAGAGGGGGTACTTAACATGATATGTACAGTAATTTTATTGTGAGATGAAACAATGCAATGCTACACTATGTTGGTAAATATCATTCCAGAGGGCCTTCAGAAGAGTAAAATTACCTGTTGTGTCGACTGTAGATGGAATGGTGAGGAACCATCAGGAGCCCTTGAGAGTGGCCCAACACCATTAACCATCGATGTGATTACACTGTCTGCATTTGTCACATGATGTGCTTGGTAGTTTGAAGAAGGTGAAATGGACTGTGGGGTGGGAGGTGGACAATTCGAGACATTTGGCTGCACCCTTCTGGATGAATTATGTTGTGGCACTGCCAGAGCCTGGACTGCTACAGGCTCTCTCCTGACATTTCTAGTATGATGTGCTGATCGAAGTAAAGAATCTAGCTGTGATTGCATCTGCATAATACTGGGGTATCCTTGTGAAACTTGTTGCATGACAGATGTTAAATTGGAGGTTTCAGAAGGAGAGATGGCACGTGTGGTAGCAGGTTGCATTTGCAGGATATCTCTAGGGAGAATAGACTCCAAGGTCCCAATTGAACTAGAGCCAGGTCCGCCACTAGATGAAGGTAACAAATTTTGGCCAGAAGTTGAAGTTCCACCTCCTACATACATATCTTCTGACTGAGTGGCTGTGCTTAGAGGGAAATTCGGAAGATAGTCCATGACAGATATATCTTGACTATTCAACACAGGCTTCAAATCTTCTGAGGGAGATGCCGAGCTCATAGGCAGATCACCATCATCATCCTTGTTTATTAGGTCTATAACATCTGAAGGAGTTGCATCAGTTTCTACAGTGTCCCCATTCTGCTGAATTGCGTCACCATGTTTATCTGATTTCTCATCATGAACTGAAACAGCTTTCCAAGATCCATCCGGGAATACAAGAACATCCATGATATCATTACCAGTCCCTTGTAAAATCTGAAACAAAAAGGAGATCAATCATAGGAAAACATAATCAGATGAAAACATGTACAGAACTACAGATACATTATACAACTTGCCTTGACCATCTCTTGATCAATTCGAATGTCAATGAAATTTGAAGGAGTATTACAACATGGACAGCGCCAGGTTGGTTTCCTCGAGTTAATATCCATGTAACTGTCATAATCAAAACACTACAAAACACACGCCATATCATTATTTATGTCAAGAAGGAAAAGGCTCAACCCATGAATACAAATAAACAGATGTACCTGATGGTGTTTGCATAGACGCCCTTTAACTGGGGTTTGCACACGCCTAAAACTGCAATAACATACAAAAAACATTTTCAACTGCAGCTCATTAGCATTTTCCGTTCAAATAAGCAGAGATTGAATTTACAAAACCGAATAAACAACAGTCTAGACAGACACATGGAGTATCAGAGTAGTCATTACAATGTGAATAAATTGTCCAAATTGAGTTTGTGTAATATTGAACTCCGCCTATGTCTTCTAGGCATAGCCGGTCCCAAGCCCGGGTAAAGGAGGAGGGTTGTGATAGGCTTGGCGAGCCAACGTAAAAACTAGCCAGTCCCATAGGTATGAAACCCATTTGAGCGAGAATAGTACTAGGATGGGTGACCTCCTAGGAAGTCCTCGTGAAAGGGTTTCATATCTAAGGGTTGTGATAGGCTTGGCGAGCCAACGTAAAAACTAGCCAGTCTTTTGGGTATGAAACCCATTTGGGCGAGAGTAGTACTAGGATGGGTGACCTCCTGGGAAGTCCTCGTGAAAGGGTTTCATATCTAGCCTACCCCAACTTGTTTGGGATAAAAGGCTTCGTAAGTAAGTAAGTAAGTGAGTTTGTGTAATATTGCCACATAGTCACATACACATGCATGATAAACAATTGCAACTTCTACATTGGCAACCAGACACAGAACATAATTAATTAATGGAGATTGATGACAAGGAATAGTTTGTATAGAGGTTCTTTGTCGTATTACATGCAAGAGCTTACTTGTGCCCTTGTAATATATTCCCTCTGTTCCAAAATACAAGGTGCATTAGTTTTTTCAGAAGTCAAACTTGTGCATGTTTGACCAAGTTTTAAGAAAATGTATTAATATCTATAATACCAAATTTGCATCATTAGATCCATCATGAAAAGAATTTCCATATTTTATTTATTTAGTATTGTGGACATTGATATTTTGTTCTATAATATTGGTCAAACATACATATGTTTGACTTGCATGGAAATTTATGCACCTTATATTCAGGAAAGGAGGGAGTATAACAGGATTGAAGGCGGCTAGGCGCCCAAGTTTTATCAATTTAGAGTAAGTAAATTCAAACACAATACAGCAAAGTACATGTCATGAATATACAGTACCTTATGGGGCACTTTAGGGAAACTCTTGATGGCCCTTCAAGTAGCATATCTGAATCTGAATCTACATAAAAGTTCACAATGAGGAATTCAAACAAAAACATGTTATTCCAGATTTGAGTCAAGAAATTGTCAAAGCATAACTTAAAATTAAAGAACTAAACTTAATGACCTACCAGGAAGATCTGTTGTAACTGGTTGGGCATAGTCACCGAGTTTTGGAGCATCAAAAGACATCAAATTGTTCACAACTGCTACAGCTATGATGTAGTTAGCTGCAATATAAAGCTAAATCAGCACATGCTAGAATTTGATGTGTGCTTCTGGAGAAGGAAAACACACAAAACATATAATCATCAAATATACCAGTAAAATATCCAACAGCTTGTACAATGTTTGCACCATATTTGAGCATCTTGGTGATATCAGTGGGGAACTGGGGTCCTGTTTCCTGTTAATTATTTGAAATGCATGAACTAAGCTTGTTTGAGAATTGAAGATTAACCACTGTCGACAGGGTGCACAAGGCTTTGTGATAAAGGCAGAAAAAATGGCAGAAAGTGGAAGGCAACGGTTTTTCTTCAAACAAAAAGTAATTTAGTCAAGGAAGTGGGACACTAACCATTGAAACATTAGTCCTCTTGTCCACACCTTTTCCGTTTACTAAAAAGCTGAAACATAAAAAACATCAGGCATGTGTCTCTTGGCATAACATATCAAGCATCAAAGCAAAGAAGGTAATGCACCTCACATGCTGGGGGCTTGCAATACATGATGAGACATCTAAATTTTCCTTTTGGACAACAACTAGACACTGCAGAAGGTGAAACAACCAATAAATCTACTGGATATAAAATCATGAGACAATGACATTGAAAGACAAAACCAATAAGAGAAATATAATACATACTCCATCCGTTCCAAATTATTCTGAGTTATAGTTTCTCTCAAGTCAGGCTTCCCTTATTCGACCAAGATAAAGAAAAATGTGCTAATATTTGAAAACATCAAGTATATAATAATAATACACATACATTTTATGATGAATCCAATCAAACTAATTTGGTGTTGTAGATATTGGTATAGTTTTCTATAGACTTGGTCAAACTTAGAGGTTTGAGTTGGGCTAGAAATACAAATAATTTGAAACGACGGGAGTAGTCATGAAGTGTTACCGAACTCCCACAATAGCGTTATACTATCCGATCACTCAATAAACAACAAGGGCATACAGAACAGAGATTTTGGAATAATTAGCATACAAGCAGAATCTGTGCAACTATTAGTTGTTATTGACAGCTAGAAACTAAACAAGTTGGTCCCAAAATCTTTTGGACACTATTCCAGAAGAGGTATCATGGTAAAGTAAACAGGACGACAGTGGTCAACATGAAGACACAACAAATTTACAAATATTCAGTTGCCCAGTACTCCCTCCGGTCCTTTTTAGTCTGCATATAAGTTTTGTCCGGAGTCAAAGTATCTCTACTTTGACCAAACTTGTAGAAAAAAGTATCAATATTCACAATGCCAAATCAACATCATTAGATTCATTATGAAATGTAGTTTCATAGTATATATATTTCTTATTGTAGATGGTGATATATTTTAATATAAAGTTGGTCAAACTTTGCAAAGTTTGACTGGACACAAATCTAAAACGCGGAGTTAAAAGGACCAGAGGGAGTATGAAGCCAAATACAACAACAACAAGTCAACAACAAAGCCTTTAGTCCCAAACAAGTTGGGGTAGGCTAGAGGTGAAACCCATAAGATCTCGCAACCAGTATCAAGCCAAATGCAAGAGACATTAATACAATACTAACCGATGTGAACAGAACATGATGCTACATAGTGTTATGTTTAATATTTTAAAAATACCTAAGAGGGTTGCCACTGTGTCAAGCTTTTGGTCAAGAAACTCAAAAGAAAAACATATAATTAAGTGAATAGTATAATAGCAAAACACGAAAATCAGTACATGAGCAGTTTAAATAACATTAAACACTTGTTGAGACAAGCCATGCAGAATACTTAAATGGCATCAACACTTGTTAAAATCAGCACATGGGCAGTTTAAATAGCATCAACACTTGTTGAACACAGCCAAGTAAAATACTTAAATAGCATCAACACTTGTTTAAATCAGTACATGAGCAGTTTAAATAGCATCAACACTTGTTTAAATCAGTACACAGGCAGTTTAATAGCATCAACACTGAAATTTAGTAAAATAAATATTTTCCCTGGAATGGTACTTACAATCTTTTCATGTTTAGGTAGATTTCTATGAATAAAGAAGTCAGCCATCAAAATATCATATCCAACCTGTAAGTACAGACAGGTATATCAAAACCAGGCTACAGCTATGAAACAAAGCTTTGTCGCTTATCAATATATGTCCTCCCACATCAGGATGTAAGAATGCAAAAAAGTGGGCGTGAGTGATTATAACAAATTAGAGAACTTATCAGGAAGAATAGCACATATAAGATAATTTTAATTGAACAGATTGACCACCTTTGCTTCCAGCGAAGTGATTAGACGGTCGAACTTCAACTTAGGATAATACCTACAAGAAGGACCACATTAAAACAAATAAAATGTGTCACAAAGCTAATGAGTGACTTCGGTTGATCATATTATAACCAATGGGTTCAAATATACTCCCTCCTTCCCATAATATTAGAGCGTTTTTTACACTGCACTAGTGTCAAAAACGCTCTTATATTAAGGGATGGAGGGAGTATTTATTTAAATTTGTCTTGTGAATACTAAACCTAAACAACTGAAAATTGGAAATTGAAATTTTAAATTTAATAGCTTAAATTTTTGAAATATACTGACTCTAAGCTACACAATATTTGGATTTCATATTATGTTTCAAGTATTATTTTTACATTTTGAACTCTGAAGCATGATATGAGATATCCGTGTCACCCTGAATTAAAAGTCTGAAGTGTTTAATAAGATAGTAAAACATGTTTCGCGAAAATGGGATTTCCAATCTCACATTTTTTGTGGTTCTAATTTCATTTTGTATTAAGATTTACATAAAACTGACAACAGGGAATGTGATGGCAACATGTAAGCATCCAGAGAAAGAGATTCCCTCCTTACCTTGGCATTACTGTTGAAATGATTTCAAGCACGGTGCTGTCATTAGCTGGCTCGCTACTGTTCGTGCAGAAGCTGCCAGATAGCTTCATGCCAAGATAAATTATAACTAGGTAAGATGATATGGCCATGCCACCACCCAAGACTACAGATATGCAATGAACATAAAAGAAGAAACCAAGCATTTCATACACACCTCATCAGCCATTCTGAGAATATCAATGTAATCTGAAGGCTGAAACCATTTGTTTTTACAAGCATTCTGCAAAACAGCATGTGCATTAACAGATTAACTTTTTAGTGGGAGAGCCACATATTATGTTTGAAAAACAAGCTCAAGAGACAAATTGTAACCTTGGCATATAACATAATCAACAGATGCATGAAAAATTGTAACCTTGGCATATAACCTAATCAACGTATGCATGTAACACTTTGAATCGCTTGAAGCAACTCGAAGGTAAATTATACAGTTGAAGAAATTTAACACACATGAGTAGGATCAATGGATAGATGGTAATTGTTTTTATAGCAAAACATTGGGGTTTTGTTTAGACCAGCTGAACATTGGGTTGAAGCAAATAATATGTTGATGATACATATAATCATATATGCAGTCACGGAAGAAAATGTGTTCTTCTCTAAGTCTGTTTACAATTGGACTTTTCAAATAAACCAACATGAGTGAAACAAGACTATATAAACAGATAATTCCTCGTACGTAATTGTGTTCTGGTTTGGGAAAAAGTTTCTAAGTGGTACTAACACATGACTGGCATGAAAGGTGATTTACCTTGCATGATATGATCAGTACCATGACAGAAGATTGTAGAAATGGATCCTTCCTCAGCTCATATACCTGGTAAATAGTGGTAGAGTTAAAATTAATAGCACAGAATTAAGCAAAATATTGACCACGACTTAATTTACCGCATAAACAAATTATCCACCCACAATGAATGGACAACATAATTCAAGGTCAAAATTCGTAAGTGTACAGCTCATATGCTAGTTACCTCATACAACAAATCTAGAAAATAACAATGTTAGGATGTGTTCCCCAGAAGAACTAAATAAGTTCGAAAATACAAAATATATTCACCCATATCCTGAATAGACGGGCAGTTTCAGGTATTGCATAGAAACAAGTATGCCTGGCAAAGACTATATTACCCCCTTGATTAGGTCACTTATTACCAGAAGAAAAGGCATATGAACAACAGAATCACAAATCTAACATAATTTTTTGTGAAATTAGGAACTAGAATCCTCCAAAGAGTGTCCGCTACTATAGTACTTGAAAGGGAAAATAAGTCACTTCACTTTTTAAGTTAAAAGTTAGACTCTCATATGAGTTTCCTTAACTTTGGTCAACTAGTTATCTCTATGCTATGAAGTTGGTGTACTTGAAGTCTTGAATCAACAAAGCACACTGCTGAGGCCGTGACCCTCTCAAAGAGATGTTTCGGAGAAAACAAAAGATACCAATCTACCATTCATTCATTTAAGTCTCACAATTACACAGCTTGCGCTCTCAACCTATATGTATTGTGTTACTCCCATTTGCTAAACATTGCAATTTAGACCAAAAGGAAGCGCATTCACAGAAGGTCCAAGGGTAAAAAATACCTAGCTTACAATGAAAAACTCAACTGCCGTCACACCAAATGCGTGTTCCACTTCTATAATGCATTAAGGTGATCACAACTAGTAACTGCTGTAGTGAGTCACACGAGCAGTGAATCATGAGTAAGGAAGGGCGGTTATGGTCTAATAATTAGACTCGCCAGCAGAAACTGCCATGTCCGTTTCACCACTATACGAACCGGCCAAAAGACAACAGAAATTGAGAAGACTGCGCGGAACAAAACAAGGGGAATTTGTCCGGCCGAGGAAGGGGACAGACGCAATTTTACCTTTCTCAGAGTGTCTGGTATCTCACTCGCGATCTTAGGAATGTCACCGCCCGACAGCGCGTAATCGATCCCCCTGCAAGCACGCACGCACGGTGGAAAAAAAAACTAGGCGAAGAGCCACTGCGCCACGACGCCGCGGCCAAAAACCCTAGGGAGAATTAGGGGGGACGGAGGCTGGGACGGGGAGAGCGGGATAATGCGGGTGGGGGGAGGGGCGGACCTGGCGAGGGCGTAGACGAGGTGGGAGAGGTCGGCGGGCGCGAGCGCGTAGGAGCCGCCGCGGAAGTGGCCCCTGATCCGCTCGCCGATGGCCTGCAGGCGGACCGCGTTCATCTCCACCGCCTTCTTCAGCTGCTCCCTGGCCTGCTGCTGCTGCTGTTGTTGCTGCGGCTGCGACGGGGGCGCGGAGGGCTGGGGCTGGGAGGCTAGGGCGGCGCCGCCGGACATGCCTCGGCCTGGCTGGCGGCCGCGTGTCTGTCTCTCCACGGGAAGAGGGGAGAGGAGGGGAGGCGAGGCGGCGGGGAGGAATGCCGAGTACCCGTAGCGGAACCGCTGCGGGCAGGTGGGTGGCGCGGTGGGACGGGGGAGTGTGGCGTGTGGATGACGGGGAGGAGAAGTTTATTTACGGGAGAGAAATGTTGGGAATACGCGCGGGGTTCTCGACTTCTCGGTGGGCAGTTGGGAGGCGGAGCGGTGGGGGGCCGTCGGGCCCGCGCGTCAGCGAGCGATCTGGGGGCGGTTCGTGGGAGGGATTTCGCACACGTCGGTTGCCAGCTGGTACGTATATTGTTTTTCCTTGTTAGTATTTTTTTTTATTTTACTAGCAAAAAAGGCCCGTGCGTTGCAACGGGTGAAAATCAATATCACACGCCTTTGCCGTTTCGAAGCTTATCCTCTTTCCCGCCCTTGTCCATGATAGTTGTGATGTCTACGTGATCACAATGAACCCAAATGTGATCAATCCCAAGATGATGCACTGATCCACCACCTAACACACTATCTATGTAGGCTAGCATTAACTGACAAACTCATGTGGAATCACTTATTATACATGGATATCATAATAGATAATGACCAACAGATGAAGAGGTTAAAAATATCACTCTAAGGGGTTGTTTGGATAGCAAGATTATAGAGAACTAGCTCTAGTTAAACGCAATTTCTGTTGTAACAACCAAACATCTTGTTTGGATCGCCTAACTGAATCATGGATAAAGAAAACTGAGTTCTACAAAACCTCAAAAACCCAGCTTATAGAAAAACGACTATTTGGCGTTTTTATATAAACCAGTTTTATGAATACGGTGGCCACATACAGAGCGCATGGTGCCATGGCCGATGTGCTCCTCCTTCTGCCGACGACGACGTCCGCAATCCTCTTCGGGCATGAGCGAGGCGCCGACGAGTGGGTGAGCTCGCCGCTCGGGGCCCAGACGTGGTCGTGGTCGTGTCGCACGACGACGCATCATAGCGCCGCCACGTCCTCTGCAGGCACAAGCGAGGCGACGCTGGAAGTCAGTGCGGCTCAGCGAGCTCTCGCCGCTCTGGCCCGGACATGGCCTTCGTCGTGTGACACGGTGACGAAGCACAAGGGTCGCGATGTGCTCTACAGGCATCAGCAAGTTTACGCTGGAAGTCGGCGAGGCTCGGCGAGCTTGCCGTTCGTGGCTTGAACGTGCCCGTCGCCGTATGGCATGGTGACTTGGCGAGGCGGGAGCCGGGAGCTGCCGCGGAATACAGAATGCCATAGTCGATGTGTTCGTCTTACCGACGGTTGCTACAACCTGATCTCCCCAGCGTACGCGAACGGCGAACAGCATCACATCGTAAGCACTGCCCCCTGCCTAGTCATCCCAGCGGCGCACAGAGGATACTGCTGCATGGCCGGCAGCCTGGTTCGTTGTCATCACCGTCGCCACCGACAGCGCCCTTGTCTCTGTCGCCGTATTTGGGGAAGTGGCCGCAGCGAGGCTGACAGGAGCGCTCGACGGAGACGCTCCCGCTAAGCGCCAGCAGCTCAATAGATCGACCGAAGGAACGTATTGGAATTTTGACTAAGTCGTTGTGTGATGGAGCTGCGTATCCATGCTTTCTTATTTTTCTCATCCAAACAAAGTATTGTACGTGCTTACCTTAACAGAATAACTAACCAAAACTGGTTTTCCTAAAAATTCTCTAAAAACTCGTTTTCTAAAATCCTACTTCTAATTCCCTGTATCCAAACAACCACTAAGGCCGGCTCCAACACAAGAGCATTTAGAATCCCAAGCAAATTAACATGCACAATCATACGGCCCTAGCAGCTACATTGCGTATACTTTTTTTAGTGTCCGACTCTAGGTTATGGGTTGATACCAGGAAAGTTGCCAGGACGATGCAAAATCTGCCAGTATTTTATTCCCAGTGCCCGCATTATACGTGCCCTAACCACGTTTCAAGTGGCAAAAAAGTAATTTTATTTTTTTAGAAAAAACGGACTTGGCTTTTCTGAACTCTTCTTGATCATCTACATCCATATGGCAGGGAGCCTCCCAAAGCTCGGAAGAAAAAGAGCAATCGCGGTGAGGCAGCATATGTTTGTTCCGTCGTGAACATCTTCGAGTGTTTAATAATTCATTTAAAGTATTTTACGAAATTACCAAAAGATTTGAATTCTAATGATTTTGATAATGTAGTTTTTTTTTCTAATGGTAGGTTTGCTCTATTTGGAAGATTATATTTCATTCTCAATATTTTTTTTGCACTATTAAGTCTTGGTCCAAACACAAGAAAATATTATAACTCCCGTGCGGCTGAGCGGCCTACACGCACCTACACGTACACCCATCAGGCCCATCATGTGTACCTCCATGGCTCCACCGTTGGTTTATCCATTCGTCTCCATCGCTGGCTTATCCATTCGCCCCCACCAGGATGCATCTGCATCCATCTTTCCTATTCTCTCGCTCCATCTCTCATCCTCTCTCAAATCTCTCTGACCGGTGGACTCCGTGTGGGCGGAGCGAAGAGGGAGCCAAGCCAGCCGAGCCGACCCCTCTCCTCTTTCCCTTTCTCGCAGCGATTCGCAATTTGCCCCTTCTCGCTCCATCTCTCTTTCTCATCCCGTGCTTCCACCGATATGCGTAGCCAACGACATTTAAGCGCTATGAGACGGCTGCTCGGCGAAGTTCGTTCCCGGGTTGCCGGCGTGTTCAATCGGGTGACTGCATGCAGGCCCGGATGTGAAGCCTCCAAAATCGCTGGTGCCCCCGTTCCACCTGAGTGAGCGCAGCCGCCGGATCCCGTCTTGTCATGTCCTCTCTCTCTCTCTCTCATTTCCTCGTCTCGTTCTAATTCTATGGAGTGCATATGCATGCAGGCCGATGTGAAGCCAAGTCGCTGGCACCCCGTTCTAGACCACCAGATCCGGAGTGCCACCGACGGTTCCTGTCCCCATCACGCCCGCGTCAACGACCGCCAAGTTGCTGGCACCTCGTTCCAGACCACCAGATCTGGAGCGCCGCCGCCGGATCTCGTCCCCATCACGCCTGCGTCAACGACCGCCGCGGAACCCTCCTCGGCTCCTCCTCCTCAACGATTCACGGCAAGAACTGGGACAGCACCGTGCCCTTCCCCGTCTCCAACACTACAGTGCTCGCGCCGTCGGTGCTGTCGTATTTATTATCATTCGAATATGTGTGGATTTGACCCCTTCGATTGCCTTCCCATCATGTTTTGTTCATTCTTTTCTGAATCTGATTCTCATGCCTGGTGCGAATTTTCTATAAATCGTGGTGAGGATTTGTTCCTTCTTTCCCGGTTATAATTCATTGAATCAGCCCCGTGGATCACGTTTGCATGCGTGCGTGATGGTTGGAGTGTGACCACGGGTTAAATACTAAACAACCTAGGGTGTCTCTTGCATAAACGAAACGTTTTCTTGGATAAGTCACTTAGAATAGGATTGCAGGTTGAATACCTAAATCAGCAGGGGCTTTTTTGCAAAAACACCACCGACGGACAACAGAAACCCAATTTTCTTTATTATTAGGTAAAGAGGTAAAGATTTTTTTGAAAGTTTCAGAAAAAAAGTATTTATTTTTGCGTTTGCAGGTAGTATCAGTCTTCTCTTTTGAGTAGTGCTCACGTTTTATTTTGCTTTACTTATATTTTGAAAGCATCAATATATCCATATATTAGGGGTGTTTGGTTCCAGAGACTTTTTTGTGTTGGGACTAAAAGAAGTCCCTAGCAAACCAAACAGGGGGGGCTTTTTTGGGATTTTTTGCTAAAAGTCCTTAGAAGCACCTCCTTGAGAGTCCTTTTTCAAAAAGTCCTAGGGACTAGAAAAAGTCCTAGAACTAGAGAACCAAACACCACCTTAGTCGTATATCACCTGTGCATTAATGACGCTTGACTCATCGGCCTCGTCAAAACCCGCCCCGCATTATCATACGTAGGTTTGCTGTTCGGGGGCGGGTTTGGCTAGAGACCAAAACCCTAGCCGCCGCCAAGAGAGCCAACTTTCCAGCGCCGTTTTCCAGCGGCTCTCCTCCGCTGGCGACCTCTTGGACGTCGGTCATGAGGGGGGTCGCCGGATCCCGGGCATGTGTGTCATTTTTGCTTTAGGTTTAGAGCCCTAATAGCTTAGGTTTTTGGATCGTCCGACGCCTTGACTTCGGCGGCGGCGACGGCGATGCTGAATAAAGAAGTTCCAGATTCTTCTCCGGCGAGGCGATCGTCTTTTATGGTCGGTGATGGATTTGGGAACCAGTCTGTTCAAGCGGGGATATCGTGGCGGCGACGGCATCCTTGTGGTGGACTTGTGTCCTCGGGCTCCGCCGTTGCGATGGCGTCTGCTCCAGCGTCGGCGTGGAGCTTCGGAGGTAGTTCTGGAGCGGATGCAGATCGTGGTCTGCATCGACGACATCTGGAAGACGGAACATATGCTGGGTTCGTGGTTGATGGATGGCAGGTACGATTTCCTACTTCGGCGTCTTAGTCGTGGTGGGGTGTCAGATCTGGAGTTCGATGGCATGTCTGGGGTGTTGCCCCGGTCTGATTCGTTCAACCGGTAATAGTTTCATCTTTGGTGAGCCACCTTGGAGGTTCGCAAAGCTGCATATCAGCGATGGGGCCGCGTCGAGCTCGGATGAGGAGGTGATCCGTCATTTTTTTTTTTGGTGGCTGTTGTGGTGGTGACGGAGGTAGGTGATGGATGTTGGTGTTAAGCTTAGCAATGTTCTGTTATCTTTTCAGTTCTGTCATGTCAGTTTTTACGTGACTTGTAATTTGATCTTTATGATATGAATGAGACACGTATTACCATGCAAAAAAAACCGCCCCGCATTTATGCACGCGGTCCCCCGAATGAAAACCTCCACCATCAAACAATTTATCATCAACAACCAGTCGTTACTCCATATTTTTTTTCTCCCCTCCCCATCCCCTTCTCTGCTCGCGCAAGC